ATGCTACTCGGCTGGCCATGGCTTGAACAAGTGAACCCTGACATCGACTGGACCAACCGAACAATATCGTTTCGCAGTGATACACAGTCGTCCGTTGTGTCCTTCAGGCAGTGCCTACGACACGCCCCAGCTCGAAAAGCAGGTCGACGACGTCTCCGAAATGGCCACAGTACTCGGGATGATGATGCTCTCCAGCAGTTCTACATACATCATGACTTCGACAGTGCACAAGGGTCAACTCGCGTAGTACCTGCGAAAAAGCTGAAGAAACTACTGCGAGAAGAAGACAACGAATTTTGCTCCGTGATTCAACATGATCCTGACAGTTCTAAGGCCGATCATCAATTGGCACAAGACTGGGAGGCACTCAAAGGACACCCAGCCGAACAATTGCTGCTTCGCTACAAGGATGTAGTTTTCCGCTCTCAGCTCCCAACGATACCACCAACTCGTTCTGATGACATACGAGCTGAGATCGAGCTAGTCGACGACACTCCTGTAGCTCGAAAGCAGTTCAGACTAAGTGAGGAGATGAAAAAGGCGATTCGAGACTGGACCGACGAGATGTTGAAAGCTGGAATCATACGGCCCTCAAAGTCACCGTACGCGGCACCGACATTCTGCGTGAGAAAGGCAGTTGGTTGGCGTGTGGTTCATGATTTCCGAGGCATCAACGTAAAAATCCGCTTGCCCTCGACGCCTGTACCCCGAAAGGAAGATATTTTTGATGCAATGCGTCGTGGCAAGATGTTCTCAGCCATGGACCTGCTATGGGGCTTCTTTCAAGTCCGCTTACGAACCGAAGACATCCCTTACACCGCCTTCACAACGCCGAATGGGCTTTTCGAGTATTTGGTCACCCCAATGGGCCTCTCCTGTAGTCCTGCTGCGTTCAATCGCCTGATCCAGAAAGTTTTTGCCGATCAGAGCAGCTTCTGCAAGGCATATTTTGACGATTTGTTTGTCTACCCCGAGACAAATCATGTGGAAGATCACCTTGTTGCCCTCGAAAAGGTTTTAGAGAGGTGCAAGGCAGAACAACTTTACGTCAAACTCTCGAAGTGTACATTCTGTGCATCAGAAATTCCTTGTCTGGGCGATTTCATCGGTAGTCGTGGTATTCGGATGGACCCCGACAAGATAAGAGTGATCCAGAATTGGCCTACGCCTCGCTCAAAACGTGAACTCCAGTCGTTCCTCGGCACCAGTGTGTATGTACTCAAGTACTGCCCAGATTTTGCAGAATTATCCGCGCCTCTCACTGAGTTGATTAAGGGAAAAAATTAGAAACGAGCAGCTCCAGTTCAACGAGCAGCACCGAAAGTGCTTTGAAGAACTCAAGCGTAGACTATCGCAACCGCCAGGTCTCGCTCATCCTGACTTCGATCGAATGTTTTGCGTGAAAATGGATGCATCAGACTTCGCTGTAGGAGGATACTTGTACCAGCTTGATGACGAAGGTGGAGAACAAATTATTGCTTATGGCGGCAGAAAGCACAGCGAAGCGGAACTGAAATACCCAACTCGCGAAAAAGAGCTTCTCGTAGCTCTGTTTGCAATGCGCACGTGGCATGTGTACTTAATTGATAAACCTTTCATGATCAACACGGACCATCGCATACTGGAAACGAGTCTTCAGCAGAAAACGTGTTCGCAGCGGCTGGCAAGATGGCTCAACGAGCTTGGAATGTACCAACCGTTGTTTAAATGGATCAAAGGGGACACTAACGTGGTAGCTGACTTCAGCTCTCGCAATCCCGACTGGAAGCAGGACTCAACCGCTATTTCTCTCGCTGCACTATTAAAACACATCAGTAACGGCAACGAGAGCAGCGGTGTCGCAACCCACTTGTACGCAAGCCAGCATCACGAGCCATCTCGCATCATACAAGACAAGTGTGTCGAGCTGTACCAGAGTGACGAT